TAGCTGAAGGCTATGTAACAATAAACACAGTGTCAGACAGGAGAAACCTCCCTTCAGGTTGTTTGTCAGAGTAGTCCAAGAGACTCTCAAAAGAAGACAGGCTATTCCCACAGCCTTTGGTTATTTCCTAGAACCTGAAGGTAAGACCCTACTGCTAAAGACAGGACATCCTTCAGGCACAGGACTTGAAGCAATAGAGGTGGAACTGACCCTGAAGCCTCCTCCCTGAAGACAAGCTCTCATAGTTCTAAAGGATACTATGCAAGCTGCTCAGGGAGAAAAAAAAAAAAAAAATCAATGGTCCAATCCCAGCTTTAAAGCCTAATAACCACATCAATGACCCAGCACAACAAAATATATAGGTGTAGTAGTGGCACTTTTATCTTGGAGGTAATCAACAGCTATTTAATAGAACTTAAAGCCCTCTCAGTGGGAGAGAACTCATGGGTAGCACTGTAAACACAGCCAAATACACATGGACTGGAGAAGTCATAGATCCTAGAGAAAACCCTATCTCTGTCATATCCCTAGACAAATGTAATTTCTTACTGTATGCTAAATATGGATCCTTATACTTACAGACACATATAACTGTCACCCCTCATCAAAGAAGCTTCTTTTTGCAACAGAGACTATTAGAGAGCTCCACAACTGGTCAAACACAGAGAATAAGTGTCTGAGAGATGCCCCAGCCCTACGTGACACATCTACCAATGGAACCTCTACACCTAAGGCTCATGGAACATAGTGCAACAAGGGGTAAAGAGAATACTAATGCATCTCTCAACTCTCACCAGTGAAGTTTCCTCATGCAACAGAGTACAATGCACACAGAAGGCCACAACTGGCCAAAGTGTAGAGAATAAGAGACTGCAGGGTGTGTGTCTCTGGATAAGGACTCCTATATTAAACCTCACACACCCAAGGCTCAGGGACTGTTGAGGAAGAGGGAGTTGAAAGACTGAAAGAGCCAGGGTTGGTGCATGATCATAAGGAAACAGTTTTCCAGGCCTGTGGGGACCTGCTCATATGAACTCACAGCAATGGTGACAGCATGTACAAGATCCAGGAAAATTCAAACTAGACAAAACCCCAGCACAGAACAGATGAAATGGGCAGGAGGCCCCAGTTGTAGATGAGGAACTATTGTCAGCCGATGACTACTGGATGAGGGAGAGTTAATCTTCTTTAAGGGAGTGACGCTAGATGGGCTGACCAGGCTCCAGTGGATGGACTCACATCGATGGACATCTGGGTACATTTGACTTGACAGGCCTTAATATGTATGACAGAATACATGAAATCTATTATGTGTGGGAGAGTGCAGATGGGATTGCAGGGTCTAAATATGATTAAGATGTATTGTATGAAATGCACTGAAATTCGATAAAAACTGTACAATAAAAACAGCAACAACCAAAAGAAAGTCAAGCCAGCCCTTCCTCTTTAATTTCCAAAGTCCAGGTCTCAAAATGAGTGACATGGACCCTCCTAGCAGGAAATGCACTGTTACTGTCACTGATACTGTTAAATTACTACCACTGTGTAATCAAGTACAGTCCCTCCAAGGACTATGGCTCACAGTTTTCTCCAGCAGCATGGTACAAACACCAAACTTTGAGATGGCAGATGTGGGTGAAGTTCTCCACCCCAGTATAACATGCCAGAAGAAAAGCTTGCAAGTATCCTTAGAACTATGCACCTTGGACAGAGGAAAATAAAGATCCACAACCTCCCAAATAACACATACAGCACAGTACATCTTAACAGGGGCAAGGTCCAGTGTCCATAAAACTCTCAAAAGACTCTGTGAGCTTAAAACATTAAGAACAACACTCACTGAAAACCATACCAAAAAGCTTTGTGATTCCTGGGCTCAAAAATCTGTTTCCCAATATCTATAACATACGGTTCAAACTCTCTCTACATGTTAGCTTATGTACTACATAACGTAACAACTACTCCACCTATCTGGAACTTTAAATTTATCCTAGCAATGTTACATTCCCCAATTCTACCAACCAGATTACCTCCTTAAAACATGATTTCTACAGCAAGGATCTCTTCATTCTGAAACATTATTTCGCAGTATTCTTAACAAATTTCTAACTACTGTTAAAGTTACAGTTCAAATGCTGCCTCTATAGACTTCTGCTTCACCTGAGCTGACATAACCTTAGCATCTTTGCTTTTCCAGCACTGTGCGTTCCGACTCTCCCACCTGCCATACTCCCTGATTTATGATAAAAGTGCTGTAATGTCTTCCCGACTCTACTGTCACTGCGTAATTAAAAGACAAAGACTGTTTTATGTTTTGCTCATGCTTTACATAATGTAGGAGTTTAATTCCACACAACTAAATCCAGTTCCTGGAGAAATGTGACTGTTATTAAAGATGAAAATTACATAGAATTAAAAATACTTGGAAAGGATATGATAATTTCACACCCTAAAAAATAAAATATCGAATCTAAGTCTAACTATTTAAAATTCAAACAAATGGAATGTTTGGGTGGACAGCCTTAAGATGAATGCAAAAACAACAACAACAACAACAACAACAACAACAACAACAAAAAACCTGCAAAAGCCTTTATAAAGCATTACACATACAGATTTTAATGATAATTTTAGCCCAATATTCTTCACTGAACTAGTGTATGTATAACTACTGGACTGGTTCTATTCTTTAGCAGACTTCCACTCAAGGTTTCTATGAATTAAAAAATTAGCTCAAGTACCTGGTAACTCTCTTGATATTAAACATAAAATTCTTAGGTTAAATTCAAAAACATAAAAATATAGTCCTCTCCTTCCCAGCAAGTTTACCACAAGATTAAAGGTGCAGACTTGGTCAGCTGAGGAAAGGCATCTTGTGTTTTACACAGCAATCTCCATCACAGAAAAAAACAACAAAACCCACATTTTCTCAGCCAAGCCTCATACCTCTACAGTGTGCTATTCTGAGCAAAGGGCAAGGGGTAACACCTGCATAAAGGACAGGCTACTGGGGTCATTTAAAATACTCAACAAATGTTTTTGTTTTGTATAGCCTGTGAACTTCCTTTAGGAAACAAATACCAATAAAAACCATGCTCATGGGCTAATCGCATTCTATTCTTGCACTCAAGACCATATACTAATTTTTCCGGAACACATATAAGACATGTTTTGTATTTACACATTTTAAAACATAGAAGCTTTCTACTACACCAAATATACAAAAAAA